CGTGGACCTTTCATGCACGAACCGGTCCGACCGACGTGGAGCGTTTTTGGGTCATGTTTGCTCGGTGGGGGCGGGTCCGACGCTCGTTCGTTCGGTCGCCTGGATCCCGGTCATGACCGGTCCGACACGGCCAGGCAGCCTGGCGCTTTTCGTCCTCATGGGCCGCGTGAAGCAGCCCTTTACCACGGCCTGGTGGGTCATGTTCGTGACCTGTTCCTCGAATGGAGCTGAAACGACGTGGGCGAAACGACGAGGCTGGAAGAGGCTCAACAGCTGTACAGGTCCAGGGATTAGCCAGCAAAAAAACCTGGTCCTTTGCCTCATTGAGTAGTAATTTTAGATTCATCTATAGTAGAATCAAGCATATCTTTAGTAGAATGAGGTCGAACGGACCCATATAGGGCTTAAAAAACAACACATATCCCATGTTTTTTTTGTTGGCGAAAGCACATGAAAGAATGTTAAAACATGAACACACCTGGAGCTTCAAAGGGGTGATCCCTAGGTAGTGTAGGGGCTTCCAGCCAGGTGACCCCTTTGAAGGTGCTGGCATCCTTGACCAAAAGCTTACAGTATCCATCCGGCCTCCAGTCGTACCTTCGGGTTTCGGAGGGACTGGGGGTGCCAAACGTCGGGTCCTGTCATACCGAACCGGTTCGGTCACCAACACGGAGGTGTAGGGCATTTGTACCAAAACATCACCCTAGACTTCCGTGAAAGACCATTAAAACAATGGTTCACCTGGTTTTTGTAGTGTAAAATCCTTAGTTGATTCCATAAAGCCTATTAAATTAATGGTTGTTGGAAGCCTAGGGCTTAGTGTGAAGCCTAGGGATCAGATTCCCTTGAGGTGATGGATCAGTGATGGATTTCCGGAACGCCGGCATGACACCCGGAACACCGCGTCCCACGATGCATCGGGTCGCGGCCGCTGGCCATGGACCGAGCTGCCAGGTCAGGGTTCGACATGGTTCGACAGGGTCCAACACCCCTCAACTAACAGTCTGGCCAGGAGGGTGCTATTCCCACCACCCTCCGAGTTTCAGCTGCTGGACCAACTCCCAGAGGTGGTGGGGGTTTCTGGGGTCCAGGCAGGTGTAGAGTGCTGTGGAGCAATTTACTGGATATCCACAGCTCCGGAGTTTTCGTGATTGGAAGGAGGACTCATCTATAAGAGGGTGAGCCCCGTTTTGTTGGCACCTTGGGGAACAGGACCTGAACGCACTTCGGACGCCTTTTTGGCGACACCTCACACCAATGCAAAGGGTGGCATGCGGCTCCCCTGTGAAGGGTGCCGGGTCCGACCCCTGCCATGGAGGTACAAGATATCAATTTTGCCAAAGAGACATCTGCTTGGGAATACCTTTTGAAGAATTGTGGAGCCTGGATGCCCCAAAATGAGATGGTATTTATACCAGGACCCTCCAACAGGCTATTTGGAGACTTACTAACAGGTGGTTTCTGGGCACCTGTTATCACCAGGAAGCACCTGTTGGAGGGTCCAGGTAGATAAAATGCATGTGTTTTCTCACTTCTTGCCCTATGAAATCTGCCCCCAAAGAAATATAAACTTTTGAGTTTTTTGAGCATTTTCTTGGTTTTCAGAATTTTTCAGACTTTTTTCGTAGCAGTTTTGCTTTCATGTCATAGAGACTCTGGAGGAGTACAGTTGGTGAAATATGAGTAGGGTAGGTGCCCTGATTCCAGGAAAACAACCCATCATATAAAGAAGTCATTCTAAATCTCAAATCCTGATTCTACAAGGAAAGAAGGTGACACAATAATAAGCAAACTCTTGTGAGATATGCATTCAAACAATGATATATATATATATATATGCCAGCACCCTCCAACAGGTCACCACCTGACACGTTTAAGTCTACAAAAGCCTTCAGAGGAGACCTGTTGGAGGGTGCTAGTATATAACTATATAGATGACATATCGAAAGGCATAACGCAAATAGCATGAACATCACGCGGCCTCCACAGCATGAGCATGAGCCCAAGCCTGTTCGAACTTTTTGCGATGTGGTGAAATCAAAGACTCACAAAGTGACATGATTAAGCAATAAAGATTCAAACGGCATGGCGTTACAGCCATCTAGGACTTTCTGCAGGATTGTGGCTGGGCCCAAAAATGGTTGATGGCTCCTCCCGGCTATCCACACATCTGCGGTGTTCTGCAGAAAGCATGGGCGATGGTTGCCGGATGTGGCCGGAACTCATTGTAAAGTGTTATTATGCTCCCTACTTTTGCTCTACTCGACTATTTACGACTATTTTTACGTGGGAACTTTACAAAGACATACATACCAGGACCTTCCAAGTCCGGTGGTTTTAGAAGCCTAACAGGTGGTGAACCTGGGCACCGGACTTATCACCAGGACACCTGGCCAGGAGGGTCTAGGTACATAATAGTTTATATCAGCTTTAAGCTCCGACGTGGGTGCCCATGTTTTGTAAGCTTTCCGGTGTGTGTCATACGGCTGGTTTGAGCATTGTAAGAGTTCAGGCGCGCCTCAACGGCGTGGGCTTCCGACCACATGTCAGCCGTACTCGCGAGTTCCGCGGATGGCGACGCCGAATTGGGGAGTTCTAAATAGGGGGATGGCCTCCATGATCAGACCAAGCAATTACCCAAGGACGTCCAATGACTCATGAACTACTTTTCCTGGAAGTCAATCCCTAGGGATCCAGTTGTACCGAACCTCAGGTTCGGTACGACTGGACCCTCAAAACCTACATAAGAGTGTCCCCAATCACCGTACCTGAGAAGGTACTTGGATCCCTAGGGAATGGTAGTTCGTGAGTCATGACTGGACTCTCAGGGTACTACGATTTTTCATGGCCAACGGACAGAGGTGGCTGGGTGCGGGATACCAATGCATATGCATGATACCAATGCACCGGCCATACTCCAGGCCACCGGCCCGGACCCAGCTTCCCATGAAAAAGTGTAGGTGTTCACATACAACAACTACCAGCACCCTCCAACAGGCTGTTAGTTGAGGGTTGTTGGACCCTAACAGGTCTCAATTGATGACCTGTCGGAGGGTCCTGGTAGGTTTTTTTGCTAGGGAAAGCTAGGAGTTTTTGATGGGCCATGTGGGGAGTCCTGGTCGCCCTGGGGGTGTGTCTTAACATTTCGCTTTCGCCCGTTGGAACTCGCAGGTGCCCGCCGTGGGCGACTCGCGGAATGAGCGGAGAGCGCTCGTCCCCCTCCTGCCAGGTGTTCTTCCGCCCTTCCTTTCCGTCCCTTCCGTCCCCCCGCGAGAGCGAAGAGTTGCACACCTGGCCACTCCACTTCTTCAACACGTCACCAGTTCCAGTTCCGTCCTGCGTCTAGTCTTCAGCTCTACAAGAGCTCTCACCATTCTGGCTCTCTTTCCACACCCATTCCACCCATCACACCGCGCGTCTTTGGAGCTTCGGACGTTGACGTCGCCTGTCCGGGGACCGTTCCACGACCGCGGCCGAGGCTTGTGGTTCACCTACGGCCCTGGAGCTGCCAGGCGACTCCCCGTGGCTTCGGATGCGAGGAGGCGGTGCGGTCTTTGGAGGGTGAAGATTGACTGCCAGTGGGGCCTCAAGAAAACCCATCCAAAAACCTGGGTTTTCCCTGGCAACAAACATCGGAGACTGGTCCGGGCCCCTGGAATGGAGTATGACCGGTGCATTGCATACTAAGTGAAAACCTACCAGCACCCGAACTCGGCCAGGCTGTTAGTTGAGGGTTGTTGGACCCGGCCCTCTCAGGTCGAACCATTGATGACCTGGCAGGTCTCGGGTCCTGGTATGTGTTTCGTAGTTATGAAGTCTTCACACCTTGGTTTTCAGGCCGCTGGTGTCTCAGAGCTCGCTCGCGCTGAAAAAGCCGCCGCGTCTGCCGTGTCCGGGCGAGTGAACTTGGGACACGGACGAGACGGCAGAGTGGAGCGGAGGTATCGGGGTGAGAAGCGGGAAGAAGGATTTCAAGAGCCGCAGTTGAAGTTCTCGTTCACATGGTCTGACTAGTAGGTGACCCCCCTCAGTTTACTTGGAGCCCTAGGGACTGTCATTGAAACCTCTGCTTGGACAGGCTGGGCGCCAGCCCGGCGCAGAATTTGGAGCTGCTGAAGGCAGGCGCAGCCGGTTCGAACGTCTTTTGCACGCCGCCGGCCCAGCTGGCGTTGCAACGTCGACCGTTTTTGGGAAGCGACAGCGCTTTGAAGGGGTGACAGTGGGGCTGGCGGGGCGAGCAGTAATAAGTGAAGGACCTTGCAGTTGAGGTGGTCATAGGTACTACTTATATAGACCCCCAAATAGATAGAAAAGTATGTCCGCTTCTTCTATAGGTCCGTATCTATAGATCCGTTTCATCCATAAACACCAACATGTATTGGAAACGGCGCCACTATCGGTTCGACTCGTTACTAGTACGAGTTGAGAATCGGATGGAAGCTAAAGCCCTTTTCACGGATAAGCTCCGTCGCACTTGGTCGCCACGTGAGAGAATCTGATGGAAACCTTTGCCGGAAGAGACCAAGAGAGGTTGAACAGCCTTACAGGACCCTGTACCAGCACCACGGAAAGGGTGTCCATTAATAGCCCCTTAGAGGTTAAGGGGTGTCCATTAACCACCCCTTTGGGGGTCCTGGTAGTGGTACATATGGGATGGGCTTTTTCAGGCTGTTCAACCTCTCTTGAGCATCTCACGGCTTGGTTTGGCTCTCTGTGTATGTTGGCTCTCCAGACATGACCTTTCTGTGACCTGATCAGAATACAGATGGAAGCAATCGGATGAATTTCCTGGGTTTTCCTGGATGGTGCAGGAGATTCCTTCCTGGATTGCTTCTACTTGGGATCATAAGTGGTTACACACTATCTTATTGGATTTATCATTTACATACCGCCTCGCCACTTCCATCACACCCTGCTTCGAGCGCCTGAGCTTCGCAAATCCGCTGCGACCGGCTCGACAGTGTCGCTCTGTCGCCTCTCTCGCCTCTCTCGCCTCCCAGCCCGAGCAACTCCAGTGGAGTCACTGGACAGTCACCGGAGTCACCCCTGTTGGCTCTTCGGATCGCTCTTCGGATCGCACCCCGGACTCCCATCCATCCACCTCCCTCCAGGTGGAGGCCTTCCTTCCTTCACCTCCGCCGCAGACCGACCCACACCTCCCGAGACCGAGACCGAACTTCTGAGTTGCGACTGCAGGGTATGACCTGCATATGTGCCGTGACCATGTCTGCCGGCTTCTACGGAGCCCAGGCGAAGCGGAAGTGTACTCCGCTGGTGTCGTACTGGGTGGGTGGGATGGGCATGGAAGGGCATGGAAGCGTGAAAGGTGGAGAATGGCTGACCCATGGGGGTGTCGTGGTGTCGTGGCTGGAGATCCCCAAGTAGTGGGCTGGGGCGGCAACAGCCAGGTGAGCCAGAACTGGTTTGGATTAGGTGACCTATGATCACACTTGTTTGTCTCCACACTTGGTTGCTACACATGGAGTCGCCTATTAATGTTTGGGCCTCATACTCATCAGTGAGTCTCCTAGCCTATTCTTGAAAAGAGGTCATCTGAAGTCACCCATGAACAGCTAGAAGAGTGAAGCATTGTTTTGGTCCACCAAGCTTGTAGGCATCATTTGTTCACCCACCTCTCCTTTTTCAAAGCACAGCACGAAGCAAACGACGGGAAAGACCACTGCAGATCCGAAGTGAGACACCGCCCTCCAGGTCTTCTCGCGGGAGGCCTTCCCATCGATGGTCTTAAACTGGGCTGTGCGTCCCACTGCAACTCGGTCGGTGCACTACCAACAGAGGTTAAGTGACCTGAACTAGGACCCGTAACCAGGGGTACTTATATATAGGGTTCTTCAACCTCTGTTGGTACTCAGGGCTCCTGGCCTTACTAGGAGCGATCGGACGCATTTTTTGGGCCGATGCCTGGGTGCTGTTCCACCGGGGTGTCAGAGGTTGAAGATTTGGGTTCGGGTCGTCATACCAAGAATACCAAGAGAGGTTGAACAGCCCTCAGGTCGCCCATCCCATACAGTACCACAGACCAGGGTCCTAGTTCAGGTCGCTCAACCTCTCTTGGTACCTAAGAATCATGGTCGTCCTTCGGGCAAGCATAACAGCACAGCTTACCCTAGGTACGTCCAGGAACCGACGATATTTGACCGACTGAAGGTTTCAGGATATTCCTGGACTCGGATCACCTAAAGACCATTATTTTTTATAGTCTTTGACTCTCATTCCTGCAAGATGGAACCATCTTCGCAGTAAAGATGTGGCCAACCGTGGTTTTGTGCGACTGTGACACATGTAGTACTGTAGTACCCATACACCCTGTAGCCTTCAAAGACCATGCAAGAATTGGGTGACCTGGTTGTGGAGCGTCAAAACATAGTAAAACAAGGGTTGTTCAGTAAAGACCAATTAAATCAATGGTGGATCGAATCCTAGGGTTCAGGGATGTTCACCTACACTTTCGGGGGTATGAGAGACTGGTCTCATGGCGGACAACTTGGTCTCATACAGAGCTCTCTCTAGTCGAACCAACCCCCCCGACGCTTCACCCTGGTAGATGATGACGCCAAACAGATTCGTTTTCAGGGAAAGCACCTGCCCCACAGCACCCCACCACATGCCCTGTGGTCCTGGTCGTGTTTCTTCTCTTCCAGTCGACCAAATCCTGTTCCTCTTCGGGTCCAACACATCGTCCACTTCGCTTGGTCAGTTCACACCATCCCTTTCACGCGCAGCGAACAAAGAAGGAGGAAGGAGCCGCGCGCCACATGTCTAGAATTGGCGCGCAGAAGAACGAGCCGAGCCGGCTCCTGCACCTCGGGACAAAGCCGAGGCGAAGTGGTTCCCGTGGTTGGGAAAACCCTTGCTTGGTTGGAGTGAAAGCCGTAGCTTCTGGATCTTGGCGCGCTTGGGGGACAGAGCTTCGGCCGAATCTGGTGAAGTGGAGAAGTGTCAGATGGCACCGTTAAAGCGTAGTGGGAACCTTGCGGTTGGGAGGTTTGGTGGGCGCGTAGTATATTTGTTTCGTTTGGTGAGTTTAGTTTGTTTTCAAGATCTTTTGAATAACCTTTAATAACCTTTATGATATGACGTACCCTCCACAGGGCCAAATCAAGCCACATGCTCCCAGCCACATGAGCTCACATAGGTCCTTTTGAACATGTCAGTAATCATCCAAGAACACCCTATACCCTCTTTAAAGGAACCGTTATTTTTGAGAGCGGGACGCCATGCAGGTGTGTGTTTTCCAGTGTTTTGGTGCTCCTTTCGTTTTTTTTGATGTTTTTGGACTGCTTAGTTGCAATATAGGTCTAGCATTGGGTGTGGTATTGTAATCGGTCCTGGATGCTTCCCACAAAAGTTTGGAGCCTTCTTTTGTTACAACCATTCACCCTTGACCAGTGGTAGCTTGATGCCATTCACCCTTGACCCTGTGGCGATGGTAGTACAAATGGTGATGATAATGCTAATGGCAATGGTTATGGCAATGCCATTCACCCTGTCCTGTGGGAGCTTGATGCCATGCACCCTGTGATCTGTGGTGATGGTAATTTGATGCTCATGCTAATGGTACTGGGAATGCTAGTGGCAATAGTGGTGCTGGTAATGGCCATTCGCCTTTGACCTGTGGCAATGCTAGTGGCAATGGTAATTCCCATGACAATGGTGATGGAATGCCATTCACCCTCACGACCTGTGGGAGCTATGCACCCTGTGTGTTGTGGGAGCTTTGTGGTAATGGGAATCGTAATGGCAGTGCTAATTCTAATGGTGCTGCTATTGGCCCCCCTAATGGTCATTTACCCTTGACCTGCGGTGATGCTACTGGCAATGGTAATGCTAATGGCAATGGGGATGGGATGCCATTCACCCTGTGAGCTGTGGGACCTTGGCAATGCTATTCACCGTGTGACCTTTGGGAGCTTGATGCTGATGCTAATGCTAATGGCACTGGAAATGCTAATGCTGATGCTAACAGCAGTGGTAATGCTCATGGTAGTGGCAATGCTAATGGTAATTACGGGTAATGGCCATTCGCCCTTGACCTGTGGCAATGCTAATGGCCATGGTGATGGAATGCTATTCACCCTTTGACCTGTGGAAGCTATGCACCCTGTGACCTGTGGGGGGCTTGCTTCACTTGCTGTTGCTTAGCCGCACTGCCTGTTAGAGCAGCCTGACCAGATGAACTCGCATGAACCTTTTTTCTAGCTGTCAGACATGCCTCGAAGACGATACGATACGCATTTCGGAGGTGCAAACAGCAAAACCTGGAGATCAACGCCTCAAGCTGGGCACTGCAAACTTTAAAACTTGTTTGCCGTTTCATGGCAGAGCGGTTGGCCAAACCATTACAAAGCATTGACCTTGCACTATCGGAAAAAGTTTCTCCATGTCACGGTGTGCTGCACAAACGCACTGATATGAGCAGTGTTTTCAGGTACCATGACGCTTTTCAGGCAAGACGCAAAACAAAACCCGCAGCTTGGAGGCAAATGCCTAGGCGTAAAAAGTTGGACACTTCAAGTTGCTGAAGCTACTTTGCCCATTTTCGTCTTCAAAAACAACTGCGCAAGAAAATTCGCCAATAAATCTAGCAGCGAAGCAAAATTGAAAGGCAGATATATATATATATATATACAAACAAACATATAACATATATATATATATATATGTTGACAGCGAGCTAGTATAAACATATATAAAGAGGTAATGCATATGCTTATGCATATGTTGGGGTGGATCAGTCGCTATATGTATACATGTATGCATATGCATGTGTTTCTTTTTAAAAAAGGCGTCTGTGAATATGATATTGCCACACTATGTAGAGTTGAAAGATGGGAGATTGAAGTCATGACAGACATGGCTCGCGGCCACTTGCATTTTTTTCAAGAGGCAAGGGTCGGCGTTCCGCCACTTGATGCACAGCCATTTTCTCCCGCGCGCGACAGCGACAAGACAATGTCACGGACATTGCTCATGGCTGCGCTGCTGCTGGCGTCACGTCAGGGGATGAAGGACTGTCCTCCGCCTGCGGGACCTCCTGGCTCACGACCTGCGGGGTCGGAGCCAAATTCAAAGGGCAGGCCATGGCAATGCTTCAGAACTTCTGGGCATTGTTGCAGCAGGGCCTGGGACCGCCAACTCCACCAGCCGCAGCCGGAACCGCCCCCGCGGCAACGACGCCGCCCGGCTCTGTGGCAACGACGCCGCCCGGCTCTGTGGCAAAGGCGTCACCGCCGCCGTGGCGCACGCCGTCAGAGAAGTTGTGCGGCGCCAAGGGCAGCTTGATAGTCCAGAAACTTGCTGCTCGGGTATCGCAGCGCATCAAGTGGCTCTGTTCGCCTGCTGCAATCGCGCTTCAGCTCCAGCTTTTCCAGGAAAACCATGGCCTCTGTCCCTGTTGACCCTCAGCATCAACAAAGCACAGACAAGGAAGTCGCAGCTCAACGAAGCTGTGGAACGTTACTGAGATCAATGCCCTGATGCTGAGGCCTGCAACCCAACAGCCCGTGGAACTGCGCGGCCGACACAGCGGGCGTTCGCCCGATGGGCAACGGAAATTGGCTGGCCATGATGAGCTTGAAGGCCATGGCTTTGGTAGGCAAACCCGACAAGTGGGCTAGGATATTTCGTGGCTGGAGAGGTGAAGAGTGAAGAGCGGCTCCGGGGGCACTCATGTCGGAGCTGCTTCTTTCCTTTGCTTTTGCTTTTCCTTTTCCCTTTCCTTTTCCCTTTCCTTTCCTTTCCTCTCTTTTCCTCTCCTCTCCTCTCCTCTCCTCTCCTATCCTTTCCTTTCCTTTCCTTTCCTTTCCTTTCCCTTCCTTTCCTTTCCTTTCCTTTCCTTTCCCGCCTTTCCTTGTCTTTCCCTTTTCATTTCCTTTCTTCCCTTTTCCTTTCCCTTTCTTCTCTTTTCCTTTCCCTTTCCCTTCCCTTCCCTTCCTGCCAATTGGCTCCCTTTCTGGCTCCTTTTCCTTATCTTTTTGCTGCTCCTTCTGCTTCCAAAACATACCTCGGGGAAAAATACAACAACAAAATTCACATATACCCCAGACCCTCCTTGTATGGAACATTTGCATACATTGAGGTGGCTTCAGAGGTCAATGTAGGTAAACCAATTAGGTAAACACTATATTCCCGTACATGGAGTGTCTGAGCTCCTAACCGTTCTTGCCTCACCCTTCACATACTGCCGTTGAAGAACACCGAGACGTTGCCTCAGGTTGTCTACATTTGATCCCTTCCATCTGCGCCGCGCTCGCCTTCCGCAGCTCGCTGAGCGCTTGGAGCGCCTTGAGCGCCTTACCGATGAACCTCATCTGGCTTTGGAGCGCAGGCGGGTCGGGGCGATGGAGCGGCGGGTGTGAGGAGCCTTGTGGAGCTGAGCGGCGATCGTTGAGTTCAAGATGGGGGAGAGGCGCTAAAAATAGACCCTTCCAGGTCATACCAGTTCAGGATCTATACTGGATGTGCGTTTCTATGTCAAGCAGAATGCACCCTAGAAGTCCCACCACCGAAATGTGGAAGTTCCTCGGGTCGCCCATATCGTACAGACCGAACATATTCGACTGGACGAAACCGGAATTCATGCACTTCATTGAGAACTTGTGGACAGAATTTGGATACGCGGTGATTTACCTCATTGAGCGGGGTTTTTATATGGCCACCTTGCCACCCCGGCCAGCTACGTTGGTCTCTGAAAAAAGAACGCTCACAGGACGGTACCCACGTTGACAGCGGACTTCAGTTCGATACACCACTAGGGCAAAGGTGTTTCTTCTTGAAGGTTCCACATATATATATATATATATATAATATACACAGCCCTTTCCCCATATAGAATCCTTCAACACACTTATGGCACCTCGAGCGGGTTGAATATCCTCACTCCAAAGTTCATTTTGGTGTTATACAGTTATACCCCTAAGAATCCGGGCCCCTTCACCAACAGATAGGAGCCCTGGTTCGGGAAAGAGACCCCTGACCTTAGAGGTCGGGTCCGACGCCATGGAGAGCCCGAGCTCGGATTCTTACGGACAGTTGATATTTGAGGGATTTGGATGGTAATGATTCAGGCCGTCCCATAGTGGCCATGGGCTTCATGGGCTTCGTTGGGTTTCCTCGGCTTGACCGTGACTGATCCACATAGATGCTACACGAACTGGAAAGAAGAAAACACCTTTCCTCCTGGAGTATACTATGCCCACTAGTTCCCAGGCAAACCACTTTTCTTAGGAACCAGGAGCCCCTCGGTCTATGGTTTGGTCGTCTATGGTTCGGTCACCACAACGGTCACCACACCCCGGCGAGCGACATTCGTGGTTTGCCCTGCCTGCCTGGATGCCCTGGGATCAAGTTGAAGGTTTCGAAGGCAAAACGTGGCATCGTGCCCCATAGACCCTTTGCTACCTTTGTTAGCGTCCGATCGCTCCTACAGTAGTAATGCCAGGAGCGCCCTTAATAGCTTCTTGCTCCGGTCGTAGCGATGCCCTTTGTTACTAGTTTACCTATCCTCCGTCGTGCCATGTGCCAGGAGCAACCTCTTTGGAGGCGCTCTTTTGGGTTGGCAACGTTGAGGTTGAGGGCTCTTTGTCGAGCGGGATGTAGCAGTGTCCTCGACAAGTTAACCATCATGGAATAGCTTGAGCTACCTGAGTTCTCCTTGCTTTAGCAAAAATGTATTACAATCAGGAGTTGGGATTGTGCATTGAGTTTGGTCCTGTAAGAGTTGATTCTGTTCGTCGGGGGGGGGGGCCCCCTGGATCAAATCCCCCCTGCGCCGGTTCACGCCGTCATGGACTTCTACCAGGGTTACTTGTGATTGCCTGCTACCTTTCGTTCACCCCCCTCCTCTCTCAAGTTAACCATCATGGAATATCCATGTTGGGCTTCAAAAAAGGGGTTCAAAGCTTTCCCTAGGGATCCAGTCGTACCGAACCTCAGAAGGTACGACTGGACCCTCAAAACCCACATAAGAGTGTCTCCAATCACCGTACCTGAGAAGGTACTTGGATCCCTAGGGTTTCATTGTGGTCAATCACCCTTGATCATGGACTGCTGCTCTTGATCATTCTAGCCAGGCTAGCAATCAGCTCAAATCCAACTCCTTTTTTAGGCTTTAAGCCATGGCCACAACAATCTCGGCGCTACAGCCAAATGGTGAAAGCATGGTTCTTGAAGTCACGCCCGAGACAACAGGCCGAGCGCTCAAGCAGCAGATCAAGAGAAGAAAAACTTGGGACGGGCTCACTCGCAGCACTACAGGTGTGGAGATCATTGTCGGAGACAACC